GAGAAATCACCCCCCAGGGGTGATGGCCACGCTGCAATTTCCTCCCTTCTCCTCTTGAGATCTTGGGCACGTACACACATGTGCCCGGTGTGAGTTTAAATCACCAGGTCTGGGACTCGAACTGCAGTCAACTACATGGGAGTCCAACTATGTAGCCATTACGCCATCTGCTGGTCCTGTAATTAATACTTTTAACTTATCCATTCAGTGATTCAATAAGTGCTATGCTAGGCATGAGAAGGAATACTAAGGAATTACCACAAATATATTCTTTTTAAAAATAATTATTTTATTTAACTTTATTTATTTATTTATTCATTTGTTTATTTCAATTTGACCAGAGAGGGACAGAGTGAGAGAGAGAGAAAGTGAGAAAGCAAGCCACCAGGTCCGGGACTCAAACCGTGGTTGGCCATGTGGGAATCCAGTGCCTTTAATCACCACACCACCTGCCGGCCCCCACAAATATATTCTTGTTTGCAAGAAGTTTTGGGAAGGTGAGGTAACATGAAGCCCTGGGTAAGGGAGGAGCCATCTGTCTCCGAGAGTCCAGGAAGGTTTCCAGGAGTGAGGTTTGGGCTGAATTGTGAAGAATGGATAGACGTTCACAGGTAAACAAGTTGGGAAGGGTCTTCCATAAAGAAAATGGCATGCGTAAAGGTCTATAGACATGAACATTTCTGGAATAGGTGGAAATAGATGCACAGTGTAGCAGGTGTAGATATGAGCTGAGAGCAGACACAGTGTCAGGGGAAGATAACACTGGAAAAGTAATCAAAGACCAACTGGTTCATGCTGGCTGCTGTATTTTTATTTGGCAGACATAAAATGTCTACTATGTGCCAGGTATTGTTATAATCATTATACTAGTCCTAAGTCAGTCATAATAACCCAATTATTATTACCATGGAGGGGAAGCAAAGGCAGAGAGAGTTTGAGTGATTTGCCTAGGGTCACTCTACTGGTAAGTGACAGGGCTGAAATCTGAGCTCAGGCGTGTGAAAAGTGCATGCTGGGGCAAAGGTTGTCAGGCTTCTATTCATTTCTCAAATGTTTTTTAGGTGTCTGCTAGGCACTAGGAGTAAAATGGCTTACAGACCTTGAAGTGACTCTCATAGAGTTTAATGTCTATCCAGGAAGATGGACAATTAAATGATTAACTCAATAAAGTCATCTGGATGTTTTCACATTCCCTGCCCACATGCAGGATGGCCAAACCTGAGTGCTGGTATTGATGTCCAAGGGAGTAGGGCCAGCTCCAGGTCCCACAGACACCACATCTTTGGAATGATTTGGCATCTCATGAGGGTCTTGCTAGCTGAGATCTCAGTCAGTCTTCTGCCAGATAAACCAAGTGCCTTGGCATCACAGGGAGCCCCTGGCCCAGTACAGATGGCAAGTGCCCAGAAATACAGAGGCCAGTAAAGACTGCAGTAGGATGGAGCCAGCACTGCAGTGGGGCATGAACAGCAGTGTGGTCAGGGATACAATACTTAAACTAAGCCCCAGAAAATGACCTGAATTTTCCTGGCAGATAAGGAAGTGGAGCTAGAGTAGGGGAAGAAGGCATTCTGAGTAGAAGGGATGAGACCTAGGCTGTGTATCATTCAAGGAAGTTTGGTCCTTCTCATGGAAACAATGGGAAACTACTGCATAGTTTTTTGTTTTTTAAGTTATTTATTTAATTATTATTTTAATTTGCTATATGGCAAACGAGTTCACCAGAGCAAGAGAGAAAGAGAACATGAGTAAGCTGTTAGGTCTGGGACTTGAACCGCATGGGCCATGTGGGAGTCCACCTCGCCACCTGCTGGCCCCACTACTGCATGGTTTTGAACAAAGAAGTTATGTGATCCGATTTGCATTTCAGACAGATATCTTTGGTAGCTATTTTGGTAGGTTGATTAGAGAAGGACTATCTTAAAGGCCAGGAAATAGGTAATAATCAAGGTAATAGCAGTTGGCATACAGTAGAAGGGCTGGATTTAAGTAAGAAGCAGCATTGACAGGATGTGCCACCAACAGCGTAGACTGCTAGCCCTGTACCAATACCCAACCCCCTTCTTTTTATTATTTTTAAAATAAAATTTATTTATTTAGGATTAGCTCATGGCAC